ATCTAGTGGGCCTGGTGCAGACATCTAGTTGGCCTGGTGCTGACATCTAGTGGGCCTAGTGCGATATCTAGTGGGCCGGGTGCGGACTTCTAGCGGGCCTGGTGCGATATCTAGTGGGCCTGGTGCAGACATCTAGTGGGCCTGGTGCGGACATCTAGCGGGCCTGGTGCGATATCTAGTGGGCCTGGTGCAGACATCTATTGAGCCTGGTGCGATATCTAGTGGGCCTGTTGCAGACATCTATTGGGTCTGGTGCGATATCTAGTGGGCCTGGTGCAGACATCTAGTTGGCCCGGTGCGGACCGGTCAAATAGAAATCAGTTAGTGTCCTATACACATGTTTAATTTATTTTACCCAATTCACTATTTGGAAGTATAGCTGTTAATGTGAGGGTTAGGGGTGAGTATATGTGTTAACATTTGACATATATAGCACCTGGGGAAAACCAAACCTGATGTAGCCGAACAAATTAGGACAGAGTTGACATCCATTAATTATGTCAACAAAATAAGTAGCGGGGAGGGTTGGGGGGGGGGATAAAGTTTGCCAGTCGTTAACAATTTGTGGGGGGGGGGGGGGGGAAANTGCGGACCGGTCAAATAGAAATCAGTTAGTGTCCTATACACATGTTTAATTTATTTTACCCAATTCACTATTTGGAAGTATAGCTGTTAATGTGAGGGTTAGGGGTGAGTATATGTGTTAACATTTGACATATATAGCACCTGGGGAAAACCAAACCTGATGTAGCCGAACAAATTAGGACAGAGTTGACATCCATTAATTATGTCAACAAAATAAGTAGCGGGGAGGGTTGGGGGGGGGATAAAGTTTGCCAGTCGTTAACAATTTGTGGGGGGGGGGGGGGGCAAAATCTAAATTAATTGACGTCAACCAATCCATTTTTCTTTGGTACATAAAAACTAGGTCAAGCTTGAATAGGCCGAGATCATTGATAGTCAAATACTTCTTACTTTTAATGGCTATACAAATTCGTTTAATTTCAAATGCTCTTTGAGAAGTACGAGACCATTAGCACTCAAATCGTCTGATTCATGGATAACAAACGAACCATTAGCACTCAAATAGTCTGATTCGTGGATAACAAACGAACCATTAGCACTCAAATCGTCTGATTTTTTTATTCCATTAATTTTAAAAAATTTATAGAGTGATAAAATGTAACACTTATCACAAGCCACAGCAACCACACCATCGCAGTTTGCAAACCACACCATCGCAGTTTGCAAACCACACCTTCACAGCTTTCAAACAACACTATCACAGCTTGCAAACCACACCATCACAGCTTTCATACCACACCTTTACAGCTTTCAAACCACACCATCACAGCTTTCAAACCACACCATCACAGCTTTCATACCACACCTTTACAGCTTTCAAACCACACCATCACAGATTTCAAACCACACCATCACAGCTTTCAAACCACACCATCACAGCTTTCATACAACACCATCACAGCTTTCAAACCACACCATCACAGCTTTCAAACCACACCATCACAGCTTTCAAACAACACTATCACAGCTTGCAAACCACACCATCACAGCTTTCATACCACACCTTTACAGCTTTCAAACCACACCATCACAACTTTCAAACCACACCAACACAGCTTTCAAACCACACCATCACAGCTTTCAAACCACACCATCACAGCTTTCAAACCACACCATCACAGCTTTCAAACCACACCATCACAGCTTTCAAACCACACCATCACAGCTTTCAAACCACACCATCACAGCTTTCAAACCACACCATCACAGCTTTCAAACCACACCATCACAGCTTTCAAACCACACCATCACAGCTTTCAAACCACACCATCACAGCTTTCAAACCACACCATCACAGCTTTCAAACCACACCATCACAGCTTTCAAACCACACCATCACAGCTTTCAAACCACACCATCACAGCTTTCAAACCACACCATCACAGCTTTCAAACCACACCATCACAGCTTTCAAACCACACCATCACAGCTTTCAAACCACACCATCACAGCTTTCAAACCACACCATCACAGCTTTCAAACCACACCATCACAGCTTTCAAACCACACCATCACAGCTTTCAAACCACACCATCACAGCTTTCAAACCACACCATCACAGCTTTCAAACCACACCATCACAGCTTTCAAACCACACCATCACAGCTTTCAAACCACACCATCACAGCTTTCAAACCACACCATCACAGCTTTCAAACCACACCATCACAGCTTTCAAACCACACCATCACAGCTTTCAAACCACACCATCACAGCTTTCAAACCACACCATCACAGCTTTCAAACCACACCATCACAGCTTTCAAACCACACCATCACAGCTTTCAAACCACACCATCACAGCTTTCAAACCACACCATCACAGCTTTCAAACCACACCATCACAGCTTTCAAACCACACCATCACAGCTTTCAAACCACACCATCACAGCTTTCAAACAACACTATCACAGCTTGCAAACCACACCATCACAGCTTTCATACCACACCTTTACAGCTTTCAAACCACACCATCACAACTTTCAAACCACACCATCACAGCTTTCAAATCACACCATCACAGCTTTCAAACAACACTATCACAGCTTTCAAACCACACCATCACAGCTTTACAAACCTCACCATCACAGCTTTCAAACCACACCTTTACAGCTTGCAAACCACACCATCACAGCTTTCAAACCACACCATCACAGCTTTCAAACAACATTATCACAGCTTTCATACCACACCTTTACAGCTTTCAAACCAAACCATCGCAGCTTTCAAACCACACCTTTACAGCTTGCAAACCACACCATCACAGCTTTCAAACCACACCATCACAGCTTTCAAACAACATTATCACAGCTTTCATACCACACCTTTACAGCTTTCAAACCAAACCATCACAGCTTTCAAACCACACCATCACAGCTTTCAAACCACACCATCACAGCTTTCATACCACACCTTTACAGCTTTCAAACCACACCATCACAGCTTTCAAACAACACCATCACAGCTTTCATAC